ACCTTTCTTCAAGCAGCTCTGCTCCCCTTTGATCTGCTGGACACGCCGGGGGTTCCGCCTGGGAGCGCGTTTGAACACAGCCTGCCATGCGGTTAAGGGCTTGCTTTGGAGACAGGCAGACCCTGGCTTGCGTCCTGGCTCTGGCACTGAGTAACTCTGTGAACTCCTCAAATTCTTCATCCATCAAGAGGGAAAAACAACACGTTTTTGGGACAATTAATGGGATAACATTTACAAAGTCCTTTACATAGTGCCTGGCACACAGCAAGCTCTGGGTAAATGACACTATTACCGGCCACATACTTAACCCCAAGAGACACTCCTGGTTGTCTGTCCCGTTCATTCCACCACCAAAAAAGGAGAGGCCTGACATGAAAGAGCACAGGGACACAAGGACACAGTGGGGCCAGCGTGCTGAAGGTGGAGCTTTGACGGGGAGGAACAGAGTCGGGAAGCACTTGCTTCAAAATACTGGGATTTCGGGGTTCTACTTTTCCCTCTTGGCCCTTCATTTCCCCTAAGTTTGCAACTCCTGCCCCAGATATGGTGACACACTAGACCCTTCTTCCTCTTGGGAGCAGGGGCTCAGCTCCTAAGCCTTTTGAAACCAACCAAGAACCAGGGTGGGACTCAGGCCACCTGACTCCAGGTGAAGACCTCCTCCGTCTTACAAACAGACCTGCCCAGTCCTGCGGGAGGAGAACGACGTCGTGGCTGGGAGATAACTCTCTCACTTGTAAAAGTGCACAGGAATTTTTCGAGTGTGTCCTCTTTGGGGAGATTCTGGGGACTCTAGTGGGGGCAGCTGTCATCAAGAAAGCCACTGAAAAGAGATTTCAGAGTTTCAGAGATGTCGATCCTGCTCACCTGGCATGGCAGCCACACTGTGTGCTTCATCTATGGAAAGCTGAATAACTGAACTGAATACTAAAAAGAGTAACTAGAACAGGGCATGGCATGGATGTAAAAGGAGCACAGTGAATTTCTGTTGAATGAATAAATGAATGAGACTGAACACCTGACAAACATGTTTCAAATGTACATACTATGATAAATGTAACCCAAAATCCAATGTGTCAAAAGAGACTTCATTTTATATTTGTATTAGTGCTATGAATAATAAATTAATTGTCTCATTAAAATCCTTCTATAAGTGCCCTGCTAGCAGCTAAGGCCTCCTCCATGAGCCTTGGCTTTGCCTGGCTCCACAGGGCAGAGGCGAAAGATCTTTGAGCGGAGGCCTGGGTTTACTCTGGTCTCTGCTATTAATGAGCAGGTCAGGTAACTGAGCTTTGGTTCCCATCATTATAGGAATCATTATATCTACCCTAAGTACCCCACAGGTATATGGTAAAAATCCCGAGAAAACAGATGTGAAAGAACTTTCTAAACCATAAGGTGCAACACTCATGGTCGAGCTATAATGATGCTTACTGCCTGCTCCCTCACCCTTCCCACCTGGAATCTTCTCCAGGGAGGAGAAATACAGGAGCGAATCTTTCCTGTAGTTCAACATCTCTGCTTTGTAGAGCCCTCCCCTCTACCCCTTCCAACTCTGCATTTGCTGCTGCCCTGACCATTCACATTTGTCGTTTAATGACTGTTCACAGGGAGGCGGTTAAGTACAGTGTTCAAAGCTCAGGCAGACCTGCACTGGAACCCCACCTGTGGCACTTCCTACTTGAGAGACCTTGGGCAGGTCACCTTGACATCTCTAGGCTCATCTACAAAATGGGGATGACGATAACTCGTACAGACATTCTGCGAAGAGCCACTCAGGTCTTTCATGTAAAGTGCTCAATGTGCTGCCTTGCACACAGTAAGTGCTTAAACAACTGCAGCTCTTACGATTGCTGAATACTGCACCCTGTTTCCTGAATTTGTCCTGTCTCCTCTCCAACTGGATCTGAATCTCCGAGAACAAGGTCCCTGTCCTATCCATTTCTGTGGCTATCTCCCACCCCACTCCCATTCCAGAAAAGTGCTGAGTTCGGGGTATTTTCTCATAAAGACACTGGGTGAATTGACTTAAGGGAACCGTTTTCCTTCAAACAGTGCTTAAATCTTCGTTGTAGTCCCATCACAGCCAGCTTGAGAAAGTCAATGTCCACAGGGCAAAGTAACGTCTTCTGACCCTATTATCCAATTAAAAATATGTAATTCCTAAAGCACTCGGCGAAGCCATTTACACTACTGAGCTACCCGACCATGTGAGATGCACTATGTTCGTTAACAGCCTAAAAATGTTCCACAGAAGGAGACTTGATGTGGGAACCTCTGCTACATTCTGGAAGACTCTTTTTCACCTAGGACATAAACTTTGATCTTATAGATGCAGATAGTACTAAAGGGAACACATATGTTTGAATGTAGAAAATCCTATAGAATATCCCTGGGACAGTGTGTCAGTACTTTGTTATAGGGGAAAGAGTTCTAGTATTTTGGTACCAAACCCCCTTGGATGTCATAAGCTCCACATAGAATTCTACATCTTTATGGACAGGCTTTAGCAATTTATAAAGTAAACATAATTGAAATATTTAAATCTATGTTTTGAAAAGTGTAACTATAAAACTATAAACTATAACACTGTCAACAAAAAATTCCTACTTTCAGATGCCATCGGGAACTATTCTCAATTGTTCCAGAAATCATGTTTCTGTGACAATTTCTGTTATTTTTTCCTAACTGACCTAGAGATCACAAAATAAAAATGTTATTTGGGAACCAACTACATCGTGACCTCAGAATGAACAAAAGATTGAGAATAACCCACAGCACACTCCCAGGCTGTTCAATCTTTTGTCTCTTGATATTGAAGGCCTTCTTGAGCAACCACTTTGAAAGTGTATCTATCTCAAGCCTGGTCTTTCATTGGAATTCTTGTATCTTCCTCAACTCGGACCAGGAAGAAGAAAATCAACAACGTCTATCATCTTCGGGAGTTTCCGGCTTACTGAATGCTGGGCACTAGTATCCTGTTGCTCTTCAGCTTCCCCTCTCTTATCCTTACAATTCACTTCCCTCATAGTGACCTTACCACTTTTCTAGTATACAGCAGAAAGCGCGGGAAAGCCTGCCTTGCTGGAGAAGAACTAAATCAAGGACATGATGTTCCATCTGTATGGTGAACGTAAATTTTCTACTAAAGGGCAAATTCGTTATTTCAAATGGCTTATAGAGTGGTACTTTGATGATACAGAATTCCAACTGACCAGCCAGACGCGGTGGCTCATGCCTGTAATCCCAGCACTTTGGGAGGCCGAGGTGGGTGGATCACCTAAGGTCAGGAGTTCGAGACCAGCCTGGCCAACACGGTGAAACTCTGTCTCTACTAAAAATACAAAAAATTAGCCAGGTGTGGTGGCGGGCGCCTGTAATCCCAGCTACTCGGGAGGCTGAGGCAGGAGAATCACTTGAACCCGGGAGGCAGGGGCTGCAGTGAGCCGAGATCATGCCATTGCACTCCAGCCTGGATAACAAGAGCGAAACTCTGTCTAAAAAAACAAAACAAAACAAAACAGAATTCCAACTGACCAAGTTTAGGGGACTGGAAAGACTGAAATCCAAGAATATTCTCTTTCTGGGCCACAGCATTTCACTTGATTATTAACCTTTTGGCTCCTAGCTCTCTTTAACAGTAAACAGGTACTGGGAGCAGTGCTGGCACCAGTGCTATTCTTTCCCTTAGCAAAAAGATCCACGTGCCATCAATGAACGCTCATGTAAGAAATGCTGACATTTCCCTCCTATTTTTCCTCTTAAAGTATATATTAATATTTGACTTCTTCCCAATGCATCCCGACCCACCCTTTCTATTCCTCAAAGCAAAACCAGGGAGATCCCGGTGAGAGCTTCGTTTGAAGGCTGACCCACACTGGGTCTGGGCAGCAGTCCTGCTACCTGAAGTCCCCTTTGATGGGGTAATTGTGGCTTTGATGGTAATCGCTCTCGCTCTGATCCCTCTCATGTTCTGCTTCCTTGCTGTGCAGTGCTGGGCCCTCACCCTGCTACCTGGGATTGCAGAGGTCCAAGATGGGCAAGGTTGAAGCCAAAGGCCACACCATCTACTCTCCACTCTGACCTTACGGGTACTTCACTCTTAGAGGCAAAATCCTACATGGTTGCATTTTTTGGTGGATGGTGTGCAAATAAAAAACTGCACATCCAAAGTCTTTCCTGTACAGCATGTGCGCCAACACTGCACATGGAAAAGGTGGCAATGTTTGTGGCTACCTACCCACTCATCATGCAGCTACACTTGCTGGAAAGTCTCGGAGATGCTGCTTTAGCTCTGCTTGTCCCTGATGTGAGCTGGGAACAAGGATGGTAAGAGGAAAGCATGCTGTTCCCCCTGCCCCAAAATGCTGGTGTGAAAGGAGCACAAAGCCAGGAAAATGAGGAGCTCCTTGATGATAACTAGCACTATCAAGAGCTGTTTAGGCAGCCAATCACACTTTTATTTTCCTTATGCTTTTTGACTGTAGATTTAATTTAATTTCGTCATGGCAGGATTAGCAACTGGGCCACAGAGGTGAAGGGACATTATAATAAGACAGCACATTAATCCTCTATCCCACCCAAGGCAGAAGCAAAACCAAACAAATAGCAGCTTCCTGGAAATTGAATTTCTGTTATCCAGATGTCAAAGATGTAATACCCCAATTACACAAACTATTGCCAGTGAAGCATGCCAGCGAATATGCAATGTAAATGGGGTGAGCGCAGAGCCACAAAACTGCACAGTCAGCATCTGGCTCTGTGAGTGAGTGATAATTAGCACTGTGTGTAGACACTAATAAACATTTATGTCTGAAATTACAACTTTTAGCAATGTTAATAAGGGATATATTGGCAATCTGTAAAATAAAAGGTCTTGAAAAGAATGTCATACATTAAGCAATGGCAGACATTTCCCGTTCCTGAACAATTTCCTTTTTCCCCCTAATTGCAAATGGCCACGATGTTTTGCTGAGAAATTAATTGACATAGGAACCTACCTAAAAAAATGGGTTGTGTCTCTTTGGCCTCCCCATTAACATCGTTGCTGAATTCTGGGATCTTATACACCTCATGGTGATAATCTGGCATGAGAAAACAACCAAAAATTAGAATCCTAATGACCTCAACATAGGAATAAGCACTCAAGTCTAGAATCTCATTCTATTTAGTATGTATAATCTATAATTTATAAATAAACTTTTTGAGAACTGAATTAATCACAGAATTTGCAGTCGATAATAATTCCTAAAACTTTGCTTATTCTGGAGTATGCAAACTTGAAAGATTACTTTGGCTTTAGAAGATAGCTTTGCTTGATCACACCATTTTCACGGTAAATTATGCCCACAGGTGCCAATCTTTAGGCTTTTTTTTTTTTTTAATTTGAGGTGGCAAGTACGTTTGCCCAATCATAGAGCAGGAGAGGTTTCCAAATTTCTCTTCACAACCCATTTTCACCAGCATATCAACAGTATGCTTTAAAGTTAGCCAGCACTCTAGTTTTCTCAGTTTACCCAGAAAATCTCAGCTTTTAAGCAGCTTAAAGGCAAGCACACATGAAAAATACTGATTTGTTATTTCAAATGTAGTATGATTTGGATAAGAAAGCAAGATTTTCATCTTTCACACAAGTGACTCTTTCGCTTTCAGCTACTGCACTTTATTTAATATGCAAGTTTATTTTCTAAAACTGCACCTGCAGAGAGAGAGAGAGAAGAATCAGACCTATAATTAAAAAAAAAAAAAAAAAGAAAAAGAAAAAAGGAAAAACTTGCTATGTCAGTCAAAGTTTAAAATACAATATTTTACAAGCTTCTCTATGGAGGCTACTGCACTTTGGCTTCTATTTTTGAAAAGTAGGGTCACTTAGGCATGAAGACAGAGGTTCCTCCTTAACACCTACTCCCCTTCCTCTGGCCTTAGATCTCCCAGGACCAAGTCAACAAAACTACTCTCACTTTTAAGATAAAGCAGTTAAGTTCTCTGAGGTCATCAATAAGAAAGCAGCCTACATTCCTGAATGAATCAGATAGCACCATCAGGGCAGTCACCCAGACAGAGACTTTTAAAAGTCCAAGTAACTGAGTAATCAGCACGGATGTGGAAAAAAAAATTTACTCAGAAAGTGGGAAGAGCCAAGTATTTTGAATGCGTGAAACTATTTCAGGCCTCTTTCATTAACAGTGTCCAAACTAAATTAGGGGAGGCAGATAAGAATGGATCTGCAAAATGCCTATAATCAAACTATTTTCAGATGAACCAAATCCACATCTTAGCTAGCTTTGCTCAGTTTGAAAAATTCGATTACTTGTAATTGTCCACGATTTTTCACTAATTTTCATCAGTTTACATGTGACTTCTGCAGGTCGTTGAAGAGTTTCTACCCTGATGCCAATGCTAGAGAAAACGACAGAGGAAAAGCGGACAGGTTCTGTGGTGTGGCTTTGACCTCAACTTGATTAAAAGACGACATTTAAACAGAGCGGGTCTAAACTCAATATGAGGACTTGTGACATTACAATGAACAAAGTCACCTGCCCCTAATTAAAGATGACAATGCATTTTGAGATATATTTTCACGATGGCTCTTACCTTGAGTTATCATTAAAAAAAAAAAAAAAAGTCAAATCAGGGAGATAAAGACTCTTAACAAGTAACTGAACACAGGCAAGACTGTATTCCACTTTCCCCTCCCTGACCAAATACAAACCCCGAGAGAGTGGTGTACACCTGTTAATTCGTCAGGAACTATCTGGATTTTTTTTTTCTTCCTTTTTTTGTTTTAAAGGATACTTATCTGACTGCTACGTGATCTAGTCTAAAACACCTTTCCAACCCGAATCAGCTAGCTAGAGATGTTGGATGTCAACAATTCCGCCTTGGGCTTGGACACGGCGTGAGCTTCTTTCTCCTTCTTAAAAAGAACGACAACGGTCATCCTTTTTCCTCCTTCTCTCGGCGGGGGAAGGGGGAAGACCCCAGAAAACAAAAACAGCAAATCTCAGGTCGGATGGTCAACGCTCGGCCTGATGGCCAGGCAGGTCCGCGGCCGCCCCAGCCCAGCCCCGGAGGGGCCCCGAGGAGGGCTCGGGCCCCCCGGTGTCATTGTTTGCTAATTTCCTGAGCTGCCCTCCGACTTGTTTACGTTAAATAACACCCCGGCTCCCCCCGCACAACTTTCCCCGCCGCCCGGCGTGTGCGGCCGCGGCCCTGCCTGCCAGCCCCGCGGAGGCACCGGGGGACCGGGAAGGACCGGGGGCTCCGGGAGGGCGCGCCCCCCAGCGTGGACCCCCGCGGGCGGCCGAGGGCGCGGCGCCCGCTGCCTGCCCCCGCCGCCCCGGCGGCGGCTTACCTCGGCTCACCAGTTTGAAGCTCTGGGATTTCCTGCTTCTTTTCCTCTCGGAGAACTCCATGGTGCTGGGAAGGCGGCGGCGGGGGCTGAGGAGGCGGCGGTGGCGGCGGCGGCAGCGGCGGCGCGGGCTCGTGTCACCGCCGCGGAGCCGCCGGGACCAAGGTCCGCGCCTGGAGTCGGCGGGGGGAGGCCGCGGGACGGGAGGAACCACCGCGAGCCCGCTCGGGGCTGCAGGCGCGGGGCCCGGCGGCGCGGGCTCCTGGGCGAAGTTGCCCCCGCGCGGCGCCGCCTCCCGGTGCCCTAGGCGCCCCCGCGGCCCCCGCTCATGCCGGCCCGCGGGTTCCAGACGCCGCCCGCCGCAGCCCAACTTTCCGCTGGGAGCGGGCCGCGGGGGCGCGGCGGCGGCGGCCGGCGGGCGGGGCGCTGGGGCGGCCGCCCGCCTGGGGCTCAGCTGCGGAGCGGCGGCGGCGGCCCGGAGACGCGGCTGGCGGGCGGGCTGCGGGAGGCGGCGGCGGTGCAGAGCGGCCGGGGCTGACCGCCCCCGGCGGGAGAGGGGCGCCGGCGGAGGGGGCGGCGCCCGCCGGGACCCCGGGCCACCTGCTGGCGGAGCCCGGCCGCCGCCATCCCCGGGGGCCGCCGTCGCCGCCGCCGGCCTGGCCGCGCGGCGCCCCGAGGAGGCGCGGAGGCCGCGGCGCAGCGCCCTGGCCCGGGCCCGGCCGGCCTGCCTGCCCCGGGGGACGCCGCCACCCGGGCCTCCGCTCACAGACCCCGCTGGCCGGCCTCCCTCCGCCGCTTGCTGAGCCGAGCTCCTCTGTGCGCCTCGCCGTGGGGGCGCGGACCGCCCCGGCAGCCACCTCCCCGCCCTCACATCCCGGGCGCCTGGGGGCCCGACGCGGTGATTTTAGGCAAGTTTTAGGGGGGAAAAAACTTACCCATCTGCGCTCTCTCTACAAGGACAGAGAGGAGGTTTTAGAATATTGTGGAGAAGAGTGTAGTAGAGAGAGCTCCCATTCCCTAACCCAGGCTGGGCGGACTGTGGGAAGAGCCGAGTCACATTCAAGGAGAGCACTTGGAATGGGGGGCTTGGTGGCCCTGGGGACTCTCAGGAGGCCATGGTCAAGGCAGGTGCAGGGGACTCTGCTTCTCCAGGTCATATGTCGGAATCATGGACCCAAACACAAAGCGCTTACTGGTTTTGTGTAATATTCTTTTTGGGGAAGCAGAGAGAGTACTCCAGGCACCATTTCTTTCTCACATCTTTCGAGTGGGCCAGGAAAAGAATTCACACCATCTGGGAATGGTAGGACAGGAACGTGATGGGACGTGCGTGAAAGTATCCGCCAAACCCAACCAGGAAGAGGGTAAAGAGTCGGAGGGGCGGGGGTCTACCTCTCCAGCATGGGGCAAAGGCCAGTGGCCCCAAAAGAGAGAGGAAAATGGGGAGTTTGACAAATGTGATGGTGTCACGTGGATCCCACCCAAATGAGGCGGCCGCTGAGGAACCGCTCTTCAGGGACACAGATTAGGACAACTGCCGAGGAAGGGGGACGTTGAGGCAGCTTGCAGAAGCACGCATGGAGAAACAGAACCAAAGAGCAGGGTAACCAGCAAACCGGGCCGTGGAGGCAGGGATGGTTACCCATCCCAAGGTCTTGGATGGTACCAAAGGCGGCACACCTGGAAGGCTGGGTATTCCTGGCATGGAGGGGAGAGGGAGAACTGTTTCTTCCGTTCGATAAAGCAAACCTTCAACAAGAGGTTGTTAACCTTTTTGGTCACTGTTTCCTTTGAGATTATGTTCAAAGCTCAAGGGCCCTTTTTCCCAGAAAACATGTATGGGACACATAAAATTTAGTATACATTTATTGGAGTTCTTAGACGCGCCTTGCTGCTCTCAGAAAATTAGTGGTAACCGTGATTAAAGCAATACCCTGTTTGGCCACCCCTTTCTTTAAAACCAGGCATAAAAACCTGAAGATATTTTGGATTTTTTTTTTTTTTTTTGAGACAGAGTCTCATTCTGTCGCCCAGGATGGAGTGCAATGGTGCGATCTCAGCTTACTGCAACCTCCATCTCCTGAGTTCAAGTGATTCTCCTGCCTCAGCCTCCCAAGTAGCTGGGATTACAGGCATGGGCCACCACGCCCAGCTAATTTTTTGTAGTTTTGGTAGAGATGGGGCTTTGCCATGTTGACCGGGCTGGTTTCAAACTCCTGACCTCAAGTAATCGGCCGCCTAGGCCTCCCAAAGTGCTGGTATTACAGGCGTGAGCCACCACGCCCGGCTGTTTTGGAAGTTTTTAAAGACACAAAGCCTACAATTTTGTTCCTCAGGCTGGGATCCATTCTTTCTTTATGTAATGCCTTTTAAAATGTTATTCTCAAAGCCGTAAGGCTAAGTTCTACACTGACTAAGGAACTTCCCGGATCCTTCATGCCTTGGAGCATATAATGAGATTTTATTGTGCTTAAACTATGATGAACTCAGTGAAGGTGTCATCCCAAGAAGTAAATCCCTGGAGAAGGTATTAACAACTTAGCATTTTCAGTTCAAGTGGGAATGCAAATTCCATTTACTGAAGAGAATATTTTTGATAGAGTTAAGAATAAAATATTTGAGTAAGAATATTTTTAAATAGTAGTCATTTCTCCTTGACCCTTTTTAACCTGGCTTTCCAGAGATGGTGTATGAGTGAATTGGCCTGCAGAGGACACAGGCTGGGCCTGTCTTACTAAGTTTTAGAGAAAATAAATGTCTATTTACTCTGCATTTTGTGCAAATCACTATGCTCTTATCTAACAAAAATATATATCACATTTAGTATTAAGATTAATTATAATATTTAATTAAAATGAGATTGCTTGGGGCCAGGTGTGGTGTTTCACACCTGTAATCCCAACATTTTGGGATTCAGAAGGATTGCTTAAGGCCAGGAATTCAAGACCAACCTGGATAACATCATGAGACCCAGTCTCTACCAAAAAATAGAAATATAAAATAAAACATGAAGTGAGATGGCTTTAAGTGGCAGGTATCCGTATAGTAGCCACTCCTCCTTGGGGAATATGTCCAAGACCTTCAGGGGATGTCTGAACCTGAGGATAGTACTGAACCCCGTATATACTATGTTAGTATCAAACCCCATATATACTGTGTTGTTTTTGTTTTATGTTTCCTAATAACCAACCAGCTACCAAGAATACGCTGGGCTAAAGAATGATTCCCGTTCCAGGTCAGAAGGAGTGGGTTGGCTAAAGATTTCATCATGCCGCTCAAAATGGGGCACAATTTTAAACTGATAAATTGTTTATTTCTGGAAGTTTGCATTCAATATTTGCAGGCCATAGGTGACTGCAAGTAACCGAAATCATGGATAAAGGGGGACTACTGTAGTAGCCTGCTCGGGCTATCGTAACAAATACCACATATTGGGTGACTTAACAGCCATGTCTTTTCTTACCGTTCTAAAGGCTGCAAGTTTCAGACCTAGGTGTGGCAGGATCAGTTTCTGGTGAGGGCTCTTTCCTTAGCTTGCGCACTGCTACCCTTACATGGCATAGGGAGACAGCAGTCTTTCTCTCCCTCTTCTTATAAGGCCACCAATCTTATCAAATTAGGGCTCCGCCTTTATGACCTCTTTTAACCTTAGTTACCTTCTATTAAAGGTTCAATCTCCAGATACAGTCACGTTAGAAGTTAGGGATTCAGCGTACGAGTTTGTGGGGGACCCAAATCAGTCTGTAGCCATCTTGTTTTCATTCAAACATAGTGTCTGTATTGGGGGTTCCTGGAAAGTTTTCTAGGGGATCTACTGAGGTCATTTCTTTGCCTCATTCTTTCCAATTTTAGTATATGTGCTGCCGAAGTGAGCACTCTTTGCCTCGTTCCTAAAGGCCCCCTAAAGTTCCAGAACCACAGGTTTATGTGTTACTGGAGATCAGAGATAATCGGTCAAATATTCAATGACATCACGCAGGGCAAACATTTTATTATATGGCCATGCTTAAACCCACTTGATTATAAAGATTTCATGTTGGTTTCAATCTTTGACAAAGCCAGATAATTTGGCCAGAAAACATGAAGTAACCTTAACCCTGATACTTAAAATTCTCTTCCTGAAAACTGTCCTGAGAGGAATAGCATTATGAAAAGTTTCATCTTTATTTAGAGCTCTGCTGTCGAATAGAAATACAATGCAAGCTATATATGTAATTTAAAATGTCCTATTAGCCACACTGAAAAAAGTAAAAATAAACAGATGAAATTCATTTTAATAATTTATCTTATTTAACTGAATACATTAAAATACTATTATTTTGACACATGATCAATGTGAGAATATTATTATTAAGATAGCTTATATGCTTTTTATTGTACAAAGTTTTGAAATTGGTATGCATCTTAACCTTAGATTACAAATCAGTTCAAACTAGCCGAATTTCAAATTGTCAATAGTCACATGTAGTTAGTGGTGACCACATTGGGCATCTCAGATTTAGAAGGAATGCCTGATTTGAATCATGCTATGTACGTAGATGTAGTATGTCTACAACATGATTGTTGTTTAACTGTTTTATTAATACCCCCTCAGAAAGAAGATAAGCAGAATGGGATTATTGGGTTTCAGTCTTTTTATAATCTTTGATTGGATTTTCTGGAATTGAATATCCTGTCATTAAATAGATTCTGGGAATCCTTTAGGAAGATTTAATACGTATAAATATCCACTTTTCAACATCAGGACAATCACGCATCAGACAGTCATGGAAGGAATAGACGCCCTCCTTTTAGCCGCCGGTTCCGAAGTGTTGCTGACCTAATGCAGTTTCTACACTCGTTGACTTCATTGGTTTTGGTGATTGTAATTTAAGAGAAAGGAGGCAGTATTTATAAGAGATTACATAAGTGAAATTGAGAGTTGGAATGTTCCAGAAATAATATTACCTTATATTTATATAGGGCTTCTTTTATAGCTCAAGCATATGTATGCATTATCTAACTCTTAATAGCTCTGTGAGATTGGTATATATTAATATTCCAATTTTGCAAATGAGAAAAATCCATTCTGAAGACCATTTTTGAGTGAAACTAGAATGGTCTGCTGTTTCCTGACTGTTAAATATGATGCATTAACCTTAATTTTTTTTA